GTGAGTTCAATGTTCAATTAGCTAACGACTAATATTTTATATGTAACAGTTAAAAATATCAGCTCGAGTTCTGACTTTATGAGCCAGGGTCTACAGTAATCCCCTGCTAACCGTGAATGTTTGGTTCCTGAAAGCCCTCGCGGTTGGTAAAGTGCAGGGGCCTGTGGGAAATAGGGGGTTAGGGGTACCATGGCCCCGGTCAGAACCGTCATAGCTTCGCTAAGTTTCTTGTTTATCCAAGAAACACCGAATCGAATACAGTACATTACACAATGGCATATATAAAGCATTAGATTAACTTACAAACCGACACACCTGATGACGACCGTTTGTGTTATGGTCGAAACGTCGTGATAATTTTTATTGTTTTATATATATTTTATTCTTTTATTGTTTCCCTTCAACGTGACTTTACCGAAAGAGCTAAGAATATAACTTACATACCTTTAATATTAACGGTTTAGATGACGATGGCAATGAGATGATGGGGGAAGGCATGGTTAGAAGGAGGAAGGGGGGTGGGGCTAAGCCCACCCTGTTAGTACTCCAGCCTCCTATATACAAAGTTCTCGATAAGAAATTAGCCAAACAACACAAGCAGCATCTAACTGAAAGGAGCCTTGAGGCTCACGAATGATTTCCTGTAAAACATACGTCGCAAGTGTATTTATCTTTTGTGTTAAATTGTCAGGTTATTGTATTGCCTAAGAGTTGAATCCCAGATCGCAAGTTCAAATCACGAACATTACCCCCCCCCCCCCCTATCTCAAGGTGCCAGTGTAAACGAGAGTTTTAGATTACTACGAAGTGATTGCAGAAAAAATGCGATGTTTAAAAACAACACAGATTAGATACAATTTGTTTGAGTCTTTGCTTTTTTTTGTCCTTTTCATTTGCGATATTTTCAATCTTTTTGGAAATAAAATATTAAATGTCGTCCTATATTGACGAATTGGCAGTGCATTAATAATACTTCTAGATTAGATGTTCAACTTTGGTGGAAAATACGAAGTTCACGTTCAGTTATTCTAAATTTCAGCTGCCGTTCTTGTAGTAACAAAATGTGTACCACTCGAGCTATGACCGATTGTAACGTAATTTGTCAAAGAATCTGCCGAATACAAAGGCTCCAAAATATGTTACCGCTTAAAAGATGTCAACAATAATTCACGTTAACATTTTCTACCAACCGACACCCAGTGCACAGGAGGGAGTTGATCCGTGTTTTACAACTCTTGCAGCATTCTGAACACATTGTAGCCACTCCCCTTTTAATTTAGTTTGGTTTAGATACCAGGGGTCGGCTCAGCCCATCATCCTTTCTGGGTTTATTAAATTTGCAACACTTTGTGTACAGTCAACAGTTGAACTCCCAAGGAGAGCCTGGCTCCCCCATGGCAGCAATGTGGTGAGAGGCCATGGGCGGATGTGGGGATATTCACAAGCCCCCTGCTGAGTGCTATTCAGTTGGAGTTTGTACCATTGGATGAGAGGGTAGCCTCATTGAGACATCGGGTCTCAAAAAGGAAAACTCTGACTGTTGTCTGTGCTCATGCACTAAAAAGCAGTTCAGAGTATTCGGCCTTCTTGGAGATGGAGGATGCAGTGCTCGATACGGTGATGCCTACCGACTCCATCGTCTTAATGGGCGACTTCAATGTTCACGTGGGAAACAATGGAAATACCTGAAGAGTCGTGATTGGGAGGAATACCCCACTGATCTGAACCCGAACGGTGAAATATTATTGGAATTCTGCATTAGTCACAGAATGTCAATAACAAACACCATTTTTGAACACAACGATGCTCATAAGTATATTTGGTACCAGAGCACCTTGGGCCTAACGTCAATAATTGACATTATTGCTGCATCATAGGACCTAAGGGCATATGTTATGGACACTCAGATAAAGAGAAGGGCGGAGCTGTCAAGTGATCCGACACTTGGGGCACCGACCAGATACATGTGGAAGGCCCAAACAAATAGTGCAGGTATTCTGGGAGCGTATGGTGGAAGACACAATGCAAAAGATTTCAACTTTGACCTCCAAGAAAACTTCTTCTACACTCCAGGAGGAGGAGGAGGCTGCGTTCCCTACGCTGCGAGATCGCGTTTCCCTGCCGTCCATACTGGACACTGATGCAAGTGACATGGGCATAGGGGCTGTCCTGTCCCAGGGGAAGAACTGGGTGGAAAGGGTGATCGCATACGGGAGTCGCATCCTTTCAACCACCGAGCAGTGGTACCGTATCACCCGCAGGGAACTGTTGGCCATGGTGTACTTCGTCCAACAGTACAGGCCTTATCTTTATGGCAGATAGTTTGTAGTCTGCATGGACCACGTGGCACCCGAGTACTCTCTGAGAGTGGACCAGCCTTCCGGCCAGCTCTTACGCTAGTTGGTAATACTCCAGGAGAATTTCTTTTGAGTGGTTCACTGCAGGGGTGTGGGGCACTGCTATGCCGATGCATCATCCCGCTTGCCGCTGAAAAGATGTTGCGCATGCTCGTCGGGCGTGGGCCAGTGTAAACAGCCTAGGGCTGGGCCACCGGGGGTCGTAGTGGCTTTGAGTGACCCACCACCAGCCGTGGTGGTCGCACATAGAGATGACACGTTGGGGCTCACGCATGCCGAATGAGGCCAGTTACAGATGGAGGATGTCTCCCTGTTGAACTTGCGGCGCTGGACAGAAACTGACCACGAGAACCCCGGGCCTAAGGGAGTCTCGCAGTTCGTCCTTCAGGAAGGTCTGCTGATGAGGTGGCAGGAGGCATTGCACCATCTGTGTGTTGTGGTCCCCACCTCCCTTCGAGGTAGATTAACGCGGGCAGTGCATGAAAATCAGTTGATACACCTCGGGCATTTGAAAACTTTTTTTAAAAAGCAATGAGACTTTTATTGGCCGAGAATGTCAAACGATGTCTTCCATTTGATCAATGATCGCACATATGCGTGCGCCACAAGCTGCCATCGCAAAAATCTCAACCCCTGCTACAGTCCATCACGGTGTCCCGCATTAACAAATTGGTTGCACTTGACATCCTGAGACCCTGTCCGGCTACACAAAGGGGGAATACATTTCTCCTAGTCAGGGTTAAGTATTTTTTCCAGTGTCCAATGGCTTGGCCATTGCCCAACCAAACGGCTGCATCCATAGCCGATGCATTTTTGCACATCTATGTGATGGATAAGGGGGACTCCGTGCAGCTTCTCACGAATCAAGGTCGAAATTTCTCGTCCAAGCTGCTGCGCAAAGTGTGCGACGTGCCGGGCACAAAAAAAAGATGAGAACGTCGCAAAACCATCCCCAAATGGATGGTGTGGTGGAACGCTTACACAGAACCCTGACATCGATGCTCTGTCAGGCAGTTAATGAGGCACAGACAGATTGGGATTTGCACATTCTGGGAGTCTTGGCAGCGTACAGGATGGCTACCCATGCTTCTACAAGATTTTCCCCATTTTTACCCATGTATGGGCGGGAAAATGAACCCCTCATTGATGCACAATTGGGTATGGCCTCGGGGAGGAAGAGAGCAGCCATGCCCATTCCCTGACAGGTCATTCTGCATTGTGTCTCTGAAGTTCGCGAAGCGGCCAGAGAAAACACTGCCAAGATGCAAATTTCTAACGGCATGAGCACGTGTTTCCATGGGCAGTCGGGGACAGGGCCTAGTTTTACTGCCCTCAGCTGTTGCTGGGTACGTCTCACAAGTTACATCAGCCATGGTAAGGTCCCGTCGAGGTGGAGGAAGAGAGGAGGCTTCAGTGTGTGAGAATTCAGGTGGGATGCCGCCGTTGGTTCGTTCACCCATCGCGCCTGAAACCATATGTTTAGCCCTCTGTTGACAGCTCACCCCCAAGCCCTTTTGCGCCGATGTCTGGTGTGTTCAATGAGCCGGGGCAATCGGCCAAGGAATTTGTGCCTCAGGAAAAATGTGTTGTTCCGCCCAGAGTTTCCAAGTCCCTGAAGCCCGGGGAACCTCAAGAAGCCCCCACGTGTGATGGACCGCTGGCTGGAGCCCGGTCAAATTCTTCAGAAGAGTCCAGGGATGAGCCTATCCAATCAAGGCTTTTGTGCAAGCCCCCATTGCCTTTAGAGGCACAGAAATCTACCCAGGGCGATGGACCGGCGTCAAGGACCCGGTCAACGTGTTTACGATTCCTCTTAGCAGATCTCCCATGGTCATGGAGGGTTGATTTTTTAACATGAACTCCCCCCCCCCTCCCCGGTCCATTAAAAAAGTTGTCTTCCACGAAACCGGTCCCTGGTGCCAAAAAGAGACCGCTGGGCTAGAGGATTCGAGAAAGGGGGCATTGCCGGGGGCAGAGTGAGGGCCACGCCGGGAATAAAAGGATGCGAGACGCAAGGTTTAGGGCTGCCACGGGATCGGGTCGACTGTCTTCACGCTGTTGCTGTCTACGGGCCATCGTTGTCTTCGCGTCACCGCTACTTGCGTGCCATCCCTGGTCCAAGTGATCTGTGCATTATCCCTCTCCAAGTTGAAGTTACCTGCGTGAAGCGGCCTAAATAATAACTAAAGAAATCTCTACAGTTCAAGTTGTCCGAGTCATTACACTTATCATAAACTTCACTAGTATCACATAACGTTATGATCCCTCTATAAATTCTAACCAGCCAAAGGTCTCGTGATGTTATAATCTTCATTCGGTCCCTCGTCATCTCGTGACATCATCACCCTGCCTCCTCACGTCATTACCCCATCCTGGCGTGACATTGATACGCCTCTCAACACTCCTGCATCTTTGAAGCCATCAACCTCTTCACCTCACCCATAACTCGCGTGATGTCATCCCGATGCATTAAAGTCAGGCACACACCTGAAAAAGCGTATTATTATATAGATTACTCAAGTGTGATTCCATATTTTAGTGACATCTTTACGTGTCATAGCAATGCAGATGAACGCCAAAATAATAATCTGAGAATCCTGTAAAAATGTGTATGGTTAATGTGGTATAACTTCCACCAGTCAATTCAACAAACCAGGTACTTTATTTGTTCTCCAAATTGCATTTACACCAAGCCAAAATCGCATCGCCCTGAATCAGCTGTCGTCCTACAATAACACATGATGTTCCATTCCCCACTACTATGACAATGGAAGAAATTTAACTCATGCTGCCTCGGCCTCATCCTAATATTTCAGATTCAATCAATAACTTCTCAAGTGATATAAATGGCACTTTATGATCCAGTATGCATGCTGGTTTTATTGCCACTTTCTTTCGTCAGAAAATACAAAGATAACTACTTAACATCCGGTATTCATGCAAAATGGAGTCAGTCTTTTTGACAGTGGTCACATGAGCAGCGTTTACTATCATAGGTGATGACATGTATAGCAATGTGACCACACAAACTCACTGCATTGAACCACATGCCCAGTCCAATCTTAAAACTAAATACCCATAGCAAGATACTATAATTCTAAGGTTAGTTGTAGCATTGATGTAAAGAGCATATAGCTTTACTCCTGTGGCTGCCTGAATGCAGCAATTGTGGCATTGGCTCCGCTGTTGACGCGCTGCTCTCCATCGGCGAGCTTTGGGGCTTCACGGTACACGCTCATGACCTGTGGGAGAAACAGAGAATGAGTGGTGTTTAAACGTCAGTACCTACAGACAAACAAATATGGTAGCAATCATACCTGGCCAATACCAGCCTGATTCCTTATGCCAATCCCACCTTTGCATTGTGATCGATCAAAATAAAGTTGTCATCATCACACCTTGCCATCGCTTCTCCTATTGCAGTTAATGCCTAGACCCCCAAGTTTTACGATGATCTTGCACCAACTTCGTTTACAATTTTCCTTTTGATTGCAAACCACTGTAGTCCACTTTCAATGCTTGTCTTGGTAACAAATCATTACTATCAATCTAATTAGGAGATTGTAAGCCAATTGAGATTTACACTGATATTGACAACATTGACAATTATATTGACATTTACAAAGTTATAGCAATAATTACATTGACAATTACATGATTTTTACCCTAATATTTGGAGTAAAACTTCGATTATCTGATTTCTGTGATGACCCAATCTTATGAGTTGTAAGGTATGTCACATTTATAGACTTGGCTAATAAGTCTCAGCTATTGAATAATATTTTAACATAGACCCATATAGCAGATGTGCTCCACGTGGATGCAGTTGTTAATCACATATGCATGTCTCCTGAGATGTCCAAATTGTTTTGCCATTAGCAGTTGCGTGGAAACGTATGTACTCTCCACATCACCGCAAAATGATTGGAACTCTACTGCATTTTGTTAATGGCAATGATATTTCTACAGTATTAAATATTAATAGTGACAGTCTTATGATGTTGATTACTTGGACAGTGGCAACCTAAACACTCACGTTGCTGATCCAGCTGTTGTAGGCTGACACACGGGTGAACACGGTGGGCTTGCGAATCGTGTTGCAGCCCAGAGATGAGACGTAGCTGGAGATTCCCTGCACCACCCAGGCATTGTCCGACCGCTGGCAGTTCAGCGGGCCACCTCCATCACCCTGTGGTGCATAGCAGAGTACAGCAATGCCTCACGTTGACATTGGATCAAGAGGAATTGGATTACCGGAGTGGGTGGCTGTGATAGCAAATACCACCATGCCTCTCAGCAACTTGTGTGTCTTTGCTAGCATGCGTTTGGCTTTGTAAGAGTGTGGGCATCGAGCTCCTGTTCTAAAGTTTTGAGGTCCTATAGTAGAAGGTGTCTGTATGAGCAAACACTCGTCAAGTGTGCTTGAGAGCCATGGTGCTAAGTCATGGAGAGATATCGCAGAATGCCAAGGCCTGATCCCTCCCGTCCCCGAATTCTACTATACTGCCTTTGGGTTTTCCATGCACGTGGCACGATCTAGGAGGGCCAACTTGACGAGCGACAGTCAACGATTGCCATGTTGGCTACAGTATTAGTTTATCTACCATCTTTTATTCATGACATCGTCTTAATATCTGGATTTTATTTTTAGTAACTCCATTAATGTATGTGAATAAAGCCGTGAAAAGTGGAATCTACTATTGGTTATACAAAAAAACTGCAACAAATTTGTCAATAATGAGGTCTTCAAAAAAACGTATACAGGTAGAGTTATTGAAAAATGTGTGGAGCTTTTTGTCATTCATGCTTATGCACCACTACCAACACAGCATCGCCCAATAACTCGGTTAATAATTATTGATGCGGAGGGTGCATAGTAAATATTTGAAAAATGCAAGTAAAGCAAACAACCGTTATGGCCTTCCTCAAATTTTCCCATTGGAAATTTTACTTAAGGAATTGACGCGGGTTGGCTCGCATTGCACTCCGTACGCACATAGCACGCAGAGCGGGTGCTGCCCCCCGCGCAGATCACGCTGCTCTTCAGGCTGCTCCCCCACCAGCTGGCCTGGCTGCACGTCGCGTAGTCCACCACGGGCAGGCTGGCCTGCTGCAGCTCGCTGGGGAAGGGGCCGCTGGCTGTTCACGCACACAGACAACGTGGAGATGGAGAGCGTTGGTGAAAGCATCGGATTTTGGTGGCGTTAACAGGCGCTCCCCTATCGAACCGTCCATCTCTCTGTACTGAAAAGGGAAAAGCCACATAGCAACACCACCACCCGACTGGCAGACTGCTGCCCACTGTTGACTCTATGCAGAGTTGTGTTAATTTTGTCAACCCCAGAAAGATTAAGGGCCGAGTCAAACTGGAGGGGCAATTCACACGTTGGACTTAAAGCACTCCACATAACTCCCTCTGCTGTTGTATTTAATTGACAGTGAGTGAACGTTACTTACTGGAAAGGGATCCCCAGCCTGTAACGTAGCACGGGTAGTTGTTGGGCAGTATCTGGTTGGCGCTGGGCAGGCAGGCGAGGCGCACCTTGCTGGAAAGAGTCACGGGCGACGCAATCTTGAACATGGCGATGTCGTACCTGTGGGGGATTGAGACAGGGGCAGCCGTGATGTGACGCTCAACTCCGAACATACAACAAGCAATGGGGATTCAGCGCTGTGCACAGGAGAACTCCCACTAACCCGGGTGATGTGGGGGATATATGTCGTGGGGTTATCCATGATTTGACACTCCACTTATTTGTGGGGACAGATTAATGAATAATGGGAAGAATAGGACCACGGGTAATAAGACGTATTGTGGACAATACAGCTTCTGCAGATAATGGAGCCATGGGTAATAGGGTCAAATGCATGAGGTCTACAGTATATTTTAGTTATTGTATTATCATAAGCATTGTATGAGATGAAGAAATAGCATTGTGTCTCATCTGTCTGTATCTATTAAAACACAGAATGGGCATGGGCTGGAAGCAGTGCGTAAGCACAAATCAAGACATCTCATCGTCTTGTCATTAACACTGCCATATAACACTAAATGTTACTTCTGAAAAATAATTCATCATTGACTGACATTCCAATTATACTTTGTTTTGCTTTAAGGCAGTTTAAGTGATGAGCTTCGAGAATGGGAAAATAAATGTCTGTCTCTTTGCGTCTTTGTAGAATGTCTCTGTACATGTTTGTATATATGGATATGTATCTGTCTATTTCAACTCGGAATGTCACAGTGTCACGGAAACATGGCGCCCGTGTGCAGTCTCACCCATTGGCCGGGATGCTGGGATTCCAGGAGCTATGCCAGGCGATCAGGCTCAATGCAGGTGTGACTTGCCCCGACTCGGTTGTGGACACACTGTGCTTTCCCAGCACCACCCTGTAGCTGTAGCCACTCCTGCACATTGTGGTGGATGTGGGGAGATAACAGAGAGACGGGCGGTCGTAATCACTTACACCTGTAAACATTGCAGTGAGGAATTAATAAACAGTAATGATGCGAGTTACTGCATGGTATTTTCAATGCCACATTGCGGCATCGTGTAAAGGTAATTGATAGAGGCCGCCTCCTTGCTCCCAGGATACACTGCTCCAACTTTGGTGGCCACAATGTGGTACAGGAAAATACTGTACAACACCTGGGCCCCGGTGCAGTTGCACCGCCTGCACACATGATAGCGACGCCACTGGTGCCGTGACTCACGTGTAGCAGCTCGCAGAGGAAAGCACCCATTGACTATCAATGAGGGTTCCTCCACAGTAGTTGACCCATCTTCCTCCAGAGTACCTCTGCACGAGCGCCTGCAATGCACACCCAGAAAAGTGGTGGTAGTTACGGTTATTTGTCCAATTTCTATATCTTACAATACAGTACTAACTCAGCCCTTTCGTCAATACACTCACCGTTTGACCAGGCCTCACAATGCTAGTCATAGCTGGTTGTGAACGGATAGAATTCGGAACTGGTATGGATTTCACTCCCACTAATATTAGCAGTCGCTGGGAATGTAAACCATGTAGCATGGTTCGTCGTGCGGTGCATAAACCACTGCGCTACCACTCTCCCATTATAGTCACATATTCAATGACATTGAGAATAGTGGAAGATCTGAACATTTCATGTTGCACACATGCAGCCGTTGTGTCAGTGCACTGCTGAATGATGTCCTCCACGTGGCATTTAGAACAATGGATACTGCTGCACTGTGATCGACTGGCAATGCAGTGTGTGGCTGTGATGGCTGCTATTCAGCCTCTGCCGTTACCTGCCAAGGCCAGGAGTTGGCGCGAGCCTCCACGCCGTTCACCACGCGGATCTGGGAATACGCTGCGATCCCACAACTCTGAGCAGACACCTCAGCTGTGAGAAACAAAAGGAGACGCGAAACAAAAACAAATATCCCCCGTATAGCTTTAACGAACTGTTAGGGCAAGTGCAGTTAATGAGCACCTATGAAGGCCGGTTGCGGCACACGAAAGGGTGGGTAGATAGTAACATGCCCAGCCGCATTTGTTTTTCGAGTGGGGATGTTCACACATCGTAGCAGGTACTCATTTGAAGTTGAGTCGACCTAGGCGAGGCCCAAGACCGACTCAGATAATCGTCACTGGTGTTGGTCGTGAGCGGTCGTTGAACTCGGGTGGCCGGGTTCGTAGCACAGGACGCTAACCGCTAAACTACCTCTCCCATGGGAATACATACCATAGTACACACACAATGATAGTGATGTGTTTTTTGGGTTGTACCTTATGCATGTTGTGTCATGTTTTAATCCATGTACTAGCAAACTCTTCTATAACTAAGTCCAGTTCCTGAAGAAGCTAGAGTGATCACTCCACTAAAACAAATGTGTGCATGGCAATCACTCACCTCCAACCAGCAGAGCAGCGCAGACGAGAAAGGCGAGCATGGCTGATCGAAGAACTGGAGTTGATTGAAGACTTGGAGCTTCTTGTGCACGAGTCTTTCCTTTCCACTACCGTGTCTCACTGCTGGGCCGTCTTGGTTTTTATACAGAATCTGCTGTCCACATGAACCCTCAGATTGCAATCAGAATACTTCCCTATCTGAAAAACTGCCCACATCGAGCTGGCATGCAAATTACAAATTCATATTTTTGTTTCTCTTGGCCAGCAGGAAGTGATACAGTGTTAATCTTGCTGATGATACCAAACCAACTTTAAAGACAGATTTTTGTATCGGTTAGGTTATAATGGAATATGTGAAGCTGACCGATGGTTGACAGATCTGGTCACTCCCAAAAATGAGCTCCTCAGGCAGGCAAGGCTGCGTTGGCTGGATTATGGAGCCCACATGCCCATCAACTGCATGCCCAAGCAGCTTCTGCTTGGCCGGATAGAGGAGGCTAAAAGAGCACGGCACGGGTAGAAACATTATGGACTAATACTGTATAGGAGGATGTGGAGCTGATCAGACGAGCTGATGACTGTGGACGAGGCTCGGGAAGGACATAACTAGAGAGTTGGAGGCAGTCGCCCTCCAACAACAATGGAGGTCAGAGGAGCGTTGCCCAAAACAACGAGTGGAGCGCCAGGTGGACAGTGATGCGGCATTGTGAGCATTTGTATTTTGCTGCTCTGCGTGTTGAGTGTGTTACATTATTATACAAAAACATACACACACAAAACATACACGGTAAATAAATCGTTCTCATAGTCGATGCATTCACACCTTCCAACCGATGTAACACTCTGCGGCCATTACTTTTCAACATGGACATGATAATATTAGCAGCGTCAAACCGCATAATGTATTGTCGAAACATCACCCCCGTGTTTTGTAGAACAGACCTAAGTTTTTAAACCGTGTGTAAACGAAACACGCATTCGACTAACACGCGTTGGGCAAGGTTTTCCTCTATTTAGTATTTTTCCCCGGGCTTGCTAAGCTACGTGTTGGAAAAGTTCCATATGTATACCAGAAGTGGTATCATTCTTGAAAAACTACCATCAATCTTAAGAAATTCACAGTCGCTATCAGATCGTGGCAAAACTCAAAATCCTGGTTGATGGCTGACTGAACTCATTTTCTCCTATCTGGTTGATAAAATGAGTACCACTAGACTGGTAGATTCATAATGTGACTGGTGAGGGGGATTTACAGGACCGTGTGGAGAAGCGTTCACCAATTGAGGTCAACATTGCCAGACACTTGTTTAAGCAGGGAGACACTTCGGCTTGGCATCCAGAGGTCGGTGACCCAGGGATAGACCTAAAACCTAATGCCAGATGGTGGTGATGATGATAATAAAAATGTTAAATTGGAATTTGACGGTTATGTGTAGAGTCAGCTGTGTGACATTTTTGTGATCTAGCAGAAGGTAGCAAGCAATTTTGAGCTGCGGTGGCATTAACGGGATTGACCGTAATCATCTCTTGCGTGGCGTAGTCATAAATGGCCAAATTATAGGGAGACAAAAGTGGCCAGGTGTGTACGCGTTTCTATCCATACCCCACTCTCGTGTGCCGTCCTGGCCTCAGCAAGTACTCAATGACAGTACTTTTCAAAGTCTCTCCGGAAATATTACAAGGGAGTTACTTTGTCTATACATAGGAATGTTTGATATGAACCAGCTAATTTCTGCACTCGAGCAGGTATTGATGTGATAGAGTTTTATAAAAGTCATCACCCATCATGACTTTCAAAAATGTTTCCCCATTGTCCTCAGGCAAACTTGGTTCATTTGAGGCCACATCCTCTAACCCCTCACTGGAACTCATAATAACCTCTTTGTCCTAGTCTACAATATTCAATTTCCTTTGTTAACATTTGCTTCCTTGACTCTAACCTATTTCACACAACGGTAGTAGTCTGACCAGTTTAATGATCAGCATCAGAATCTCTATTTATCCTGGAGAAATCCGATTATCTATGAAGCTCTTTTTCATAAATTTGCAGTATATGTGGGTCAGAAAGTTACAACAACAAACAATACAAACAAAGATAGGAGTGCAAATCATAAGAAAATTGTATACGTAAAATACATAACGTTTTACGTCAAAGTTGCACAAGTACACCAGTTCCCAAACTTGGACAAGGCAGCAAAACAAGAGCTTAATCATTCCCAGAACACACCAAAACAACAGATAGTCCCTCAATAAAATTGCCCATTAAATTGAACTATTGATACATGTGTAAGCATGAAAGTTACAAATCACGTTTTTAATCGCAAACGATGGTTGTATAATGAGAAACATGAAGGATCCATGGGTGGCATTGTAGAAAGAAAGTCGCTGGCCTACTGCATCCATCCTAATTATGCAGTGTTATCCCCTTTTAAGTGTGAGGTTTTTTTCCGAGTACTCCAGCCTCCTCCTATTTGCAAACATTCTCTAAAAGAAATTAGCCAAACAACCCAAGCAGCATCCAACTGAAAGAGCGTTGAGGCTCACGAATGCTATTCTGGCTAAATTATTTATTACAACGTTGATTTACTGTTAAATATCATACATCGCAAGTGTATTTTTGTATATTTTGTGTTGAAATGGAAAGTTATTGTATTGCCTATTAGTTGAATCGCAGATCGCAAGTTCAAATATTGGTCATACCCCCCCCCACCCCAATGATTACAAACTGATTGCACACCAAATGCGATGTTTAAAAAACAATACAAACTAGATACAATTTTGATTGAGTCTTTGCTCTTGTTTGGTCTCTTCATCTGCGATATTATCAATTTCTCTGAAAATAAAATATTAAATGTCCTATGTTGCCGAATTGTGAGTGCATTGATAATATATCTAGGTAAGATGTTCAACTTTGATGCAAAACATCAAATTCCTGTTCAGTTATTCTCAATTTCATCTGTCGTTCTTGTAATAACAAAATGTATACCAATAGAACTTACATAATGACAGATTGTAATACAATTGATCAATAATTCTGGCAAATACAGAGGTTTCAAAATGTGTTACCGCTTAAAAGATACCAACAATGTTTCACGTTCACATTTTCTACCAACTGACACCCAGTGCAAAGGACTGAGATGATCCATGGTTTACAACTTCTGCAGCATCTTGAAAACATTGTAGCCACTCCCATTGTTATTTTATTTGTTTTAAAGACCAGGAGTAGGCTCAGCCCATCATCCTTTCTGGGTTTATTAAATTTGCAACACTTTGTGTACAGTCATCAGTTGATGTACTCAGGAGAGTCTGGCTCCCCACGGCATCAATCCGGGATCGGGACTGCCAAAGAAGAGCACTGCCCAACTGTTTATAACTTGATTTAGATTTTATTTTTATTTTTTTCCCTGCATACATTTCTGCAGGCCGCTATTACACATTTATTATGAATGTAGTCTGTTCGAGATTCTTGTTAAATGTCACATGGTGTTTGGTGCCTTGTTTTAATATGTGAAGAGCTGACCGTTTCTCCACTTCCTACCCCTTTACATCTTCCGGCATCTGGCCAAGCGAAAATACGTCATCCAAGTGAATGCATGCAAATTACTTGGAAAACATAGATGGGACATTATAAACAAGATAGGGCAGCCTGCAACCTGAGCGTGTGCAACACAAGCAGAGCAGATAGTGGTATCTGTAGTGAAGTCGCAAATCAGGTGACCCAGAAACAGTGGTTCCGTCTGTGCAGATTTGCATGTGTGTGGAAATGTCCCTTTTTGAAATGTTTAGTACTAAGCATTGGCATGGAAACCCAAGACATTTTAGAGGTAAGGACATGTGTGGTTTAATTTATGGCTACATTGGAAAAAATTACATTTGGTGGAATTAATATGTAATTACAGCCCTTCGTCAATCGAGTGAAGGCTTCCCTGTGAAGAATCAGTCGTAGTGAGATTATATTCGCTACTGTTAGTCAGTGCACTTTGGAGAAGCTGAGGGGTCCAAGACTGGTTCACACTGCACTCTCCGCTGATGTTAGCAGTGGCTGAGAATCAAACTCAGTTCCACTGGGTCCATCGTGCAATGCGCTAACCACTGCTAACATTCTAACTGTGAGCGCGGTCCTCTGTCCACCGTGCTTTTATCGAATTGAAACGCACACAATAGCATTTTTAGTGAGTGACGCATTACACTGGTACTCAGATCATAGGTGCAAATTAGAAAAACAGTGATCTTTTGCTTTCTGTTCTCTGGAGATGTAAGCATATGTAAAGCTAGCAGTAACATTGTGGAACTTTTTTTGCAGTACTGTATAAGAAGGATGTACACATTCTAGATCCAGATCTTTGTCGTTCTGATGCTGGAGCGCCAGATATATGTCAAGCTGTTGAATATATGTCAAGTGAGGCCACCTTAAAGTAATTGTTCTGTCCATTATGTGCACTCTCTGGCACTAAATGACAGAATGCACAGGGGTGGAATTGATAGCCTAGTGCGGAGACTTGGCCACATAACCAGTGAGAGGCAGGGCCAGTTATTTCATGAGATGCAGTCTCCATGCTGAGCTCCGTATTGTTATGTTAATCCATCAGATTTGCAGCCCTTGAGAAACCATTCTTGTGAGTAAGCAATATTGTTTTTGGTGTAGACTACACGAGTGTATTGTTAATGCAACTTAATGAGTTTAAAGAAGTAGTGAACACTGCATGTATTCAATGTGCTCCGATATGAGACCTATTCAGGTGTAAGCCCAACCAATTCATTTGGTTTCAGACTGAGAGATACTGTGAGTCACTCTTGAAAATAGGCGCCCTGAATAATTCTTGAAGATACATCCAACGCTGCCTGGGGCAAGGATGATGAAGTGTACCGTGTGGTAAGCCCGTGTTGCCATGCTTCGTCGGTGATCTTTCAGTCTGTACTGTTTATGTAACGCAGGGATGAAGTATGGCTAGCCTCTACTTAGGCATTTACCACTACTTGATGTCGCAGCATAGTGGCTGTGCATGTAACGTGGGAGTTAAATGTTCAATTAGCTAACGACTTTATGTTTCGATGTAACAGTTTTGCCCTGAGATAGGTCCGTCTCCACCCCGTTGGGAAGACGGCCACGCTCATTAAAAGTATCAAGTTCAAAAGATCAGCCAGAGTTCTGACTATGCTTATGAGCCAGGGTCTAAAGTAATCCCCTACCAACCGCGATGGCTAGGTTCTTTAAAGCCCTCGCGGTTGGTAAAGTACAGGGGCCTGTGGGAAATAGAGACTTAGGGGAACCATAGCCGCTGTCAGACTCACCATAGCTTAACTAAGCTGCCTGTTTATTCACTAAACACCGAATAAAATACAGTACATTACACAATATCACAATAAAAAGATTAGATTAACTTTACATACCTTTAATATTAACGGTTTAGATGATGATGACAATGAGTTGATGTGGGGAGGTTGGTTAGAAGAAGAACTAAGGGGGGGGGGCTCAGCCCCCCTCTGGGCCACGGACGCAACACTCTCACCATCACCACTCGCTGGACGCTTCAGCTCCATGATTACGGGCAAAATTAATGTGTACTCTACAGTATGTTCGACAAAAAAGACGGGCAGCACATCAAATTGTATTAATTTGGCGGTCAAAATAATTTAAATTCTACTTTGGGTGCAAATAAAAGTGTGTGCATTGAAGAGCTTGTTTTTTTCCTAAATAATTTACAGCTCAAGAACCAAGGCAGTGAACCACGCCCTCGCTGTTGTGACTCCACACCTCAGCGTTGCCAACTCCTTAACATGAGTACGTCGACAAACTAACCTGAAAAGTTCAAAGCTGCAAATGACGAGAAACTCTACACCACAGAAACAGTAATGCCGGCTGGAAATAACGAGTTCAACTCTGACAATCATCATCTCCTGCAGGAGTTCACCTCTGAGTCATCGCTCGGTGATGCTGGATGTGATTACCAGCGAAAACGTCGAATCTTATTGTCAGATGTTGTGCGTTGCTCTTCAGCATTCCGGTGTGTTGTGTTGCGATCAAAACGTCGTGATTTGTTTAATTTGATCTCTACCCGCGTGACTTTACCGAAAGAACCAAAGAGTCAGGATTCCTGCAGTCACGAAAGCTTCAAATTGAAATTCACTCCGGTGTCCTTAAGCAATCAACATCTGTGTTTGTAATCAACGCGATATGACCAAAACTAAATCAATATTAACGAATACATTGTTTTTTTTGTGTCTTGAAATAACTTCCGCGTGGCAATTTAGCCACAGCCGTTTATCTGTGTCGCCCTCTGTCGGGCGACATTCTAACAGGAGGCAATAAGACTGAAGCTTGCGCCGCGTTTTAACAGCCGTTGCCCACGGTTCCCACTCGTCAGGCTGCCGTTGTGAGACTCAGATATTGATAGTGAACCCCGAGAATATTAAAGAAAATAAGAAAAAATAAGAAAAAAACTACGACGTTTAGATCACAACTCAAGCGATCGTCATCAGGAGGTAAAAAGAGAGGAAAGAGGAGAATATTATGACATGCAAAACGTGTATTGAGATTGCTGGAAGGCATGTGGAGGCTTTGAAGCAAAGTGGTACAGTACTGTGGTGCGCCATCTCGCCACAGTGATCGAGGTAGTTAACATCTCGCCACAGTGGCGAGATGTTAACTACCTCGCCCGGTATACAGGAGGTCTTGGGTTCGATATAGACCCTGACGCTTGTATATTTGGAGTTTGCATGCTCTCCCCGTGGTCGCGTGGATTTATTTCCATGGGGTTAAAGTATTTGGCTGTTATAGCTTTCCACATAAGCAACTTCGCTGAGGTATCATTTGTGGCCAGTTCACTTGTGAAAAATAGATATATAGCTCAGTGTGCTTTACATGGTAAAATAAAATAAAGTTCATAGTTAACATTAGTCATTATCTCATATAGTAACACAGTTACTGCTTGTGCTATGCAAGCAAAGGTGCCACAATATTTTATTTGAGGGGTCTGTGATATTTCGTAGAAAAATCTGGACAACGTAATATTGTGCAAAAACACCAGGGCGATGCCTCGCTCACTTCGGAATCTGTTAAGAGACAAACACCCTAGTTATTTGTTTATTGACAATATATTGGTTCACATAAACAAGCGTGCCTCCGGCATGTGCTCTTCATCTCACAAATAGTTAAATTTGTCAGTCAGTAGATGTATTGCCAATGACATGACAGCATTCTTCTGTTAATCCAAGAGTCACCATACATATTATGCACAAAGTTGTCATTGTCCATGCATGATTTAAATTATGTATACGTTCTTGTTCTGTTGCTTTTGTTTTATGGTTCTAGAGCAGGGGTGGGGAACGTTCGGCCCGCGGGCCGTATAAGGCCCGCGAAATCATTTTGTCTGGCCCTGCCACGGCAACCGCAGGCAGGACTCGAAATTCAATAAATCTAGGAGCAAACCTGGAAAAGCAGTTGCGAGTAGCAACATCATCAATACCAGCTAACATCACACGCCTCACCAAAGAGAAGCAGTTTCAGCCATCACATTAGGGGTGAGTTAATTTAATGTTCGACCAAATATAACAGTAAAATTCTTGAGTAGATAATTTTGTATGGCCCGCGAATGATGTTATAAATATCCAAATGGCCCTTGGCAGAAAAAAGGGTCCCCACCCCTGTTCTAGACACTGCCAGGCTTGTTCTCTCATGTTCCAGACGTGCCTGTGCTACGTCAGGGGTTTTAAGCCGGCCTTGAAGTGGAGGCTCTTGTCATCTTGCTTTCCAGACGTCCGGCACTTTTCAGGAACGCATCTTCTGCGTTAAGCCAGGACTTATTTTTCGGACTTGTGTACAGTTTGAGTACACAAGTCCGATTTTTTCTTGAATAATACTAACAGTCCTTTTGTCAACCCACTGTCTGACTGACCATGCTTCACCATGCTAGTCAGTGTTATTGGTGCTCAGTGTCGGTTTGAATATCACTCACCAGTGATGTTTGCTATGGCCGGGAATTACACTCAGGTCACGGGGTTCATAGCGCAGTGCGGTAACCACTGCGACTCCGCTCCCCACCAGTATCATGACACTTGCTACCACAGACAAGCCAGCACGGCAAAGTGTGGTTTAAAAAACCCTCAATGACTGCCATGGCGTGGAGAGGCCCTCATCCAGCAGCATATTAACAAAGGGCTGTTAATATATATATGCAACCTCCAAATTCATTCCACTAAACGTACATTTCCAAGGTTGCTACGGAGAAATAAAAAAAACATGCAGAACTCAAATTACTTTATATCAAACGAATCTCTTCACATATGCAAATTGACTAGGAACCTTCATTTCCTCGTGTGATCACAAGGTATTTGTGATATTATCACCGGATTTATCTTCGCTGATGTTCATGCCTATGCGCAAGTTTAATGCTGCATCATCTAGTTCAGGGGTCGGGAACCTATGGCTCGCGAGCCAGATGTGGCTCTTTTGATGATTGCATATGGCTCGCAGATAAAACAAAATATTCTCACTTGTTTTAATCCATCCATCGATTTTTCACTGCGCATGTCCTGTTCAGGGCTGCAGGAGCAATTGTCCATTATTTTAATTGGATGATACTGGCCTACGTTTGCCGTTGCTGGGTAAAACAGGTAAACGCCCCCTTTTGAATCAGTCTGAGACTGCGTCTGCTCGGTCATTAGCTCAAAGCTAACCCTTTGACGAAGAAGATGGCGAAAAGAAAAAAAGACGACGAGTATCGTACATTTCAGGACGAATGGACCGAAGAATTCGCCTTTGTGGAGAGAGCGGGTTCTGCGGTGTGTCTAATTTGCAATGACAAAATTACATCGTTGAAACGGTCGAATGTAAAGCGGCACTTCGGCACGCGCCACGCTACCTTTGCATCAAAATACCATGCGGGAGACAGCAGAAAGAAAGCGTGCCAAGAGCTTCTGAGCAGGGTGCAAGATAGCCAGCAGCAACTCCGCGTATGGACCCGGCAAGGTGACTATAATTCGGCTAGCTTTGCTGGTTCTTTAGCAATAGTGAGGAACGGAAAACCATTCACAGATGGCGAGTATGCTAAAACGTTCATGCTGGATGTAGCCAAT